AAATGAAAAGTATTGTTGGTCGATGTAGGAATAACTTTGTATAATCTTGGTGTTTAAATAGGGCACAAAACAATAGTTTGTGAGTTTTGAACCTAGCGACAAAAAAAAAAAAAAAATGAAAACGTATTGTGTCGATGTAGGTAACTTTGTATATCATTGGTGTTATAGGCCAAACAAAATTTTGTTGAGTTTGAACTAGAACTTAGAAGGTATACACAAATTTAAAAAATTGATATCGAATTTATAGAGAGAGAGAGAGAGAGAGAGAGAATTTCTATGGGCTGGGAGAGAGGCCCAAATGGATAGAACATGTCATGTACCAAAAAGGGCTTATATACCTGTAAATTCTGCATTTGACAGTATCAGTTGTTTGAGCCTTACATTGGAAATTGCATCCTCCCATCGAATTTAACACTCTAAAACGACCAAAATTGAAGAGGTTCTTCATAAAGTCTTTTTGTTACCCATTAGGGATTGTTTCTCCATCTGTTTCATTGTTCTATTGCTTGTAATGCTCAACTATTTTCAAGAAAGCTTTCCGATGTGAATTAATGTCCAATAATAATACTCTTTCTGTTTCACTTTAATAGTGATAAATAGACACTTTATCTTGTTTCGTTTTAAATGCTCATTTTAAATTTTGAAAATGTATTAATTATATTTTTTTTCAATTTTACCCATATTTTAGGTGTTTTATAGTAAAATTAATTAAAAAAAATTAATTCTAAGGACAATTTAAACGATTTATCATATATCTTTAAAAAATTAACGTGTTTCAATCATTTTTTTTATCGGCAATCAAGAAATGAAATGTTAGTTGTAAAGGGTAGAAGGGAGGTAATAATACATCCAATCAATAGTTGCTTGGTTATGTAGCTACCATCCAATTTGTCTTCCCAATAAAGCGTTACCCACACGTACATTTTGGTGTGTTGCTAGTACAATAAAATGCTGATTGCTAAGTATAATACCCACAAATGAAGCCTGACCTTTTGCAAAGCATGGAGAAACAATAAAACAAGATTAATATGTCTTTTCATAATTCTTCACCTTTCATTCTTTTTCAGTTTTGGCGTTAAGGTGTCTTTAATTATAGCTCCCCTTCCCATATCCTTTCTCATGTAACTTTGGGATATCCAATCAAAATCCCACCTTTACTTCAGTGTGGAAAACATGACTCAATGAAAATATAATTTTATTATTTTTAATTCACTCAATTTTAATTTTAAGTTCAAATTCATAAGTAAAATAGATTTGATTTTATTTATAGATGAAAAATTACTTAAAATAAATCAAAAATTATAACTAAGATACTCTGTGTTTATGATTATTTATTTGTTTGTTTGTTTATTTATTTTAAGAGTAATCTTAATCAAATAAAAATTATATTATATTCATGTTTTAAAAAATATTATCAACATTACCCTTATGTCAAATAGCAAGACATGCATTAATCTTGTTCTTCCTTCTTTTAAAATGTTGTGCCACTGTGCTTGATAATACTTTAATATCTAATTGAAATTTAAATTGATAAACCTATGATAATCAATAAATCTCAAAAAAAAATTACAAAATTTCATAAGACTAAGACTGTGTTCGGCAACAATTATTTTTTATAGTGTTCGGCAACACAGCATTTGAACTAACTTTTAGAGATTAAGGTAACGTTTTATAAAAAATTAAATCATGTAGCATTTATCATAAACGTTCAACAACTAACCGCTACTAAAACAACTAGCAACTATTAAATTAGCTAATTTTGTCAAAGATACCCTAAGTGAGTATAACAGAGGGATTAATTTATCTATTTAACTATACATTTTTTTATAAAAAAAAAAAAAAAATGACCCCTATGTGAGATATAACTGAGTGTTGATTTATTTATCTATTTAAACTATACCTTTTTTTTATAAAAAAAAAAAAAAAGGATTTAGAAAAAGAAGACTTTCTCTAGAGAACTCCATTGTTTGGTGGTAATTAAATAAGAAAGTGACTTTTTTCAATCACAATCAAAACATACATTAAAACAAGATTGAGATGTCGTGGGTTGATAATTAAGAGTGGGGGTGATAAATGACCATCTTCCTTCAATTTAAATAGATTAAGGTAACGTTTTATAAAAAATTAAATCATGTAGCATTTATCATAAACGTTCAACAACTAACCGCTACTAAAACAACTAGCAACTATTAAATTAGCTAATTTTGTCAAAGATACCCTAAGTGAGTATAACAGAGGGATTAATTTATCTATTTAACTATACATTTTTTTAAAAAAAAAAAAAAAAAGGAAAAAAGAAAAGAAGACATTCTCTAGAGAAACCATGTGGTGGTAATTAATAAGAAAGTGACTTTTTCAATCACAATCAAAACATAATTAAAAACAAGATTGAAGAATGTCGTGTTGATAATTAAAGTGGGGTGTAAATGACATTCTTCCTTCATTAAATTCAAGATCCAGAAAATTTGTTGATAATTTTTCTTGCCTCATTTGAGCAGTCGGTCACTAAATATGGTTTGTTCTTTTTGGAATTTCATTTCCTAATTTTCAAAATCAAACTCTCCTTGTTTTCAGTAAGATTTTGATGGCTAGCACATGGAATGTGGGATCTCATATTCTTGATTTTTGATAGTTCAATAAATAATGTTTTTGGTGAATTTTGTGGTTAGATGCTGCTGTTAAAACATATAAAATGATCAATAACAATGTAATAATTAATTTAATAAAACATGTAAAATGATTGTGGTGATGAACTCAATGACCCACTTCCGCAACAAACTTTTTAAATAGTTTTTAATATTTTGATTAAAATGTTATTTTTTATACTGTTCGATAACATAGTGTTTGAATTAGTTTTTAGAGGTTATGACATTTTTTAAAAGATTAACCCTATAACGATTAGTTTTTAACGTTTTATAAAAAGCTACTCAAATAGTTACAAACTACTTAAACAGCTAAACGCTACTAAAATAATTAACAGCTATCAAAACAGTTAATTTTGTCGAATATGTCCTATATAAAGCTAAATCAATATATTACGTATTATTAAAAGTACAAACTATATTAATAATGTGTTGGTTGAGATAGTAACAAATTTCAATTTTCGTAAGGGTGATAACATAAGTTCAATTTCAGAAGCGCATTTTGTTAAAAAAAAAGCTAAAATTATTCACAATTTATGACTCAAAAAAGGATTACATGGTCTAGTTTAAGAAGCTTTTATATAAAAAAAGTTAAGAGTTATATATTTTTTCTAATCACATAAAAAAAAATACTAATAGTGATTTGTAAAAACTAAAATTTTTTATGACTAATCGATAAGTGATTGAAAGTTGAATTAGTTATCAATATGGAACAATTGAATCAAACATGGTTTAAGATTTGAATATTTATAAATGGAGTTGAAAGTACATAAAACTCAAAAATAATAACTTTGTCTCCAAACATACATTTTATTGGTTAAGAGTTGAAATTTTTATAATGAAGTCTTAATTTTGAAATTTTTTTTTAAGTACCAATTAAAAATAGAGTTAAAAATAACAATAAGAAGAAGAAGATGTGAGGTTAAAAATAGATGTTGGTAAAAATGGCCCACAATTTTGAGTCCATTGTAACAAATGGCCCAATTTCAAACTATGATGAGCCTTGTTCTAAAACTGTTAAAAGGATTTGCTTTAATAAAAAAATCCCTAGTGCTTGTCACAAGGAATATTTTAAGGCTAAAATGGATTAACTTCATTTTCTTTAAGCTCTAAAATACGTAGAAAATTTACACACTGAAGCATTACCTTAGCGGTAAGTATATATATGTCCTCACAATAGATTCAAGTTTAAATTTTCACCCAAAAAATATAAAAATTTTCCCAAGTAGTTAAAAATTGTCTATTTTGATTATGAGAGTGAAATTGAAATCAAATTATTTTTAGGTAGTTTTAAGAAAGTTTTAAAACCTTGAATTTTTAATTCTGTTCTTTGATTTTGGGATCAAAGCATTTTCAACTTTTTTCTTTTAAGTTTGGTAGCTTAAATAAATAATAATAATAATAAATAATATTATTGAAACAGATTAAATTAAATTTTTTTAATTCATTGGAGGTTTTTATGGGCCGAAATAATATTGTGGACTGTAACAGGGGCAGTCCTCCCCTTGGCTCACTAAATTGGTGAAAACAACTATGATTGAAAGAACTCGAATTTGAGAGTTTTCATTTCTCACATAAGTGAGAAGACCAACCAGATTATCACCTGATTGGTATAAAATAAACTAATTTAATGAAGTGTTAAAAAAATTATAATAAAATCAAAAAATAATTTTGAGAGATTGTTTGAAAACTTTTTTTTATGGTATCAAATCATAACCGTCGATTTTAAATCAAAACAATTGATTCTGGTTTAAAAAATAAAAAAATCGAAATCAAACTGTAAACATAAAATTTTGATTACCGTTTGAAATTGAAAACTGTTAATCATAATTTATGTCAATTTTAATATGTTCAAATTCATTTTAATTTTGCCGATTAGGTGATAATTTGGTTAACCTTTTTACTTATATAAGGAATGTGAAATTTTAAATTCAATTTTTTAACTATATTTATTTTTACTGTGAGCAGAGGAGAGAGTTATTCTCTATTTTATATATATATATATATATAATAGCTGCTGGGAGAGACCTCTAACGAGTTAAAAAGAAATTCGTTATGATTGCAAACCGTGATCATTGCTACCCTGGCGGTTAATTTGAGTCGCTCCCAGCTAATTTGTGGATTGCAATTAAAATAAAGAAATAAATAAAAACATTTTCTCCTTTGTTCACTGGCGCACGTTTGCAAACACTCGAGGCTGCTCAAACGCAGATTATTTCGCCATTTTCCCACTCAGATTCTCAAACACGCGACGCAACAGATCCCATAGCCACAAGTATATAGATTCTTGTGGACCCTACAGGAACCCCAGCAACAACAAATAACGGTCAACAAATTTATAAAAAAAAAAATTAAATAAAAAACAAAAACTCTTCAGCTTCAAAAGAAGTAGCTACTATTTTTCTCTTAACGCCAAAAATGGAGTCTCTGTGTCCGAGTTTCGATCTCTCGCCGGTCTCAACAAGACCTTCAAAACCTGCTTTACTTCCTCTATTCTCTTCGCGGAATCGAATTTCGAGCTTAAATAGACCTAATATAGCTAGAAAATGGAGTGCATCGTTGCCCTGTGCTTCCTATAATCAAACGGTTAAAACGGACTCCAAACCTCAATCCAGCGCTCCAAATTTAATCAGATCGATCGGAAAAGGTTTCATTGGTTTCGCTGCCGCTGCTACAGCTTTAGCTTCTCTTTGTTGCGACTCTCCGGCTTTTGCAGAGTCTCTAACTGTCGCTTTTCCTGTTTCCCGCGCTCGCGAGGTGACACTAACTCATCTCTCATCATTCTTATCGCTTTCTTTTCTTTAAATAAAAATTTTTGTTAATTATTTACTATTTATTGGTATTTCCTAGTGATTAAGGTTAATCACTGAGTCAATAAGGCTGGCTTATTGTTAGGTGAATACAGTTCAAAGAACGCTTGTGGAGGCTTGGGGTTTGATTAGAGAAACATTTATAGACCCAACATTTAATCATCAAGGTAGTTTGAAGAACTATCGAATTTTCTTTTTGCCCAATTTTGTATAAACCTGAAGTGCTAAAAACAAGAATATATGATGTGATTTTTGTGAATGATTTGACATACAATGAGAATTTTGAGAATGATTTGATCTCTGCTTCTTGCTAATTTTGAATATATAGGTTCTAAATTGTGTTAATTTTTCTTTTTCCCTTATGCAGATTGGGATTCAAAGTTGCAGCAAACTATGGTGGAAATGTTTCCTCTGAATTCAGCTGATGCTGCATATAACAAAATCAGTGGAATGCTTTCTACTCTTGGGGATCCTTTTACTCGGATTATTAGTCCAAAGGTGTATTGCAGATAATTTACTCTTTAAGCTTATATCAAATTTTATATTGATTCAAGCTGGCCATTGCAACTACCCTGGCCAAATTAACAGTTATCTAGCTTTGGCAAATATTATTTCACTTTTATTTTCAATCCCTATTGTTTTTACGTTTTTGCCTACTGTAATTCTACTAACATTGTTTGTGTTATGATCGCAGGAGTACCAAAGTTTTAGAATTGGAAGTGATGGAAATTTACAAGGAGTTGGAATATTTATAAATATTGAACCAAAGACCGGCCATTTGGTCAGTGATATTATTTGTTCGTTTTTCCTGGCAAGAAACTATACGTGTAATATTCATCTGGCAATTCGTAGGATATCTAACATGCTCGAAATCGGACCTTGAAAAGTTCTCATTTTTCAACTAATTTTATACTGATTACTGTGTCGACTGCCGTGAAAGATGCTTCACTGTGCTAGTGAGATAAAAAAAAAAAAAAAAAAAAAAAAAAAAAAAAAAGGTAATATTTATAAAATATTTGATACATAAGACCGTCATTTGGTTCATGATTATTATTTGTTTCGTTTTTTCCTGGGGCAAGGAATAGCACCTATAGTGTAATATTCATATAGGTCAATTCGTAGGATATCTAACATGCTCGAAATCGGACCTTGAAAATGTTCTCATTTTTCAATAATTTTATTTACTGATTACTTGTCGACTGCCGTGAAAGATGCTCTCACTGTGCTTAGTGAGATAAAAAAAAAACATGAAAAAAAAACAAAAAGAAAAAAGAAAGAATAATACTATAGCTACCTGACAACATTTTACTTCCGCCAGAATTATTACAATCGGTTTACCATTATATTATAGGAGTAATCTCTGTTAGTTATTTCCTTCGCGTTGTTTCTTACAGGAACATATTAAACTCTTACATTCTTTTTATGAAAACAATATCGATTTGATGTTGCCGATATGGCTTATTTATAATGTCTTTTCCTCTCATTGCCGATTATGGTTTATTTAATGAATGCTTCTTTCCGGTATGGATGACAAGTTTTCGTATCAAGTACAGTTAAAAAAAAAAAAAAAAAAAAAAAAAAAAAAAGAAAGATAAATCTTAGCTCTGCAACATTTACTCCGCAATTATTACAACGGTTTCCTATTTATAGGTATCTCTGTAGTTTCCTCGCTTGTTCTTCAGGAACATATAAACTCTTACATTCTTTTTATGAAAACAATCGATTATGTTGCCGATATGGTTATTTAATAATGCTTCTTTCATGCCGATATGGTTATTTAATAATGCTTCTTTCCGGATGAAATCGTATCAAGTACAGGGTCTTAGATCATAATCCATTGGGTTTCTTTTTTTTTTTTTTTTTTGATGACAATCAAGTCATTGGGGGTTTCACGATATAAGAGTTCTAAAATTCATCATCTATTTTTTCTTTTATATACTGTATCGCTATATCCCATTTTTTTATAGTAAATCCTAATATTAGAGAAAAGAGCTCTTAAAAATTAAGGTAATAAATTTATGTTGATTGCTTTCCAAGGGGTTACTAATTTTAGTGCTTCTCAACTGTCTTGGCATTGCAGGTTGTTTTGTCCTGTGTGGAGGGTAGCCCAGCTGCCCGTGCTGGCATACATGAAGGAGATGAATTGGTTGAGATTAATGGTATATCTAATCATGCATTTAAATTTTCTCTTCATGATTTTTAAATTATGGTCTAGGTTACTGTTCGATACAGTTTACTAGGTGAAATTATGACCTGGCACATCATGTTATCAGCTTTGTCACTACAATTACTAGAGTCATATGCTCAAAGCACCTACAAAAGGGATAATCAAATTTTTGGTTGATAAGAGTGGCATTGCTATTGATCTTAAGACAAATAAGTTTGCTCCATACCATTATCTTTTTTTATCTAGCTTTTGCCGGGTGCTAAAGATAGAATTTCTTGAGCCTTATAGAGAAAAATGCAAGTGTAATAGGTACCAAATTTGGACTAGTTGTGATTAACAGTCTTCGATAAGTTTGACGAGATTCATTACCTTGTTGAACAGTCTCAGGCTGCTTAACATCTTTGAATATCTGTACTTAAAAAGGATACCGTTCCATGGTCTCATTGAAATTCAAGAAGAGGAGCAGGTATTGAGAATGTCAAAAAGTCATTCCACCAAGGGCTTCAGTGATTTGCACTTCATGTAAAAGCCAACATTGCTTAGGCTGCTGTTATATATGTGAAATTAAAAATATATTACTGGTTTATTTTAGAATATTCTACAAGTTTGTTATAGCACGTGGAAGTTCATAATAGAGATAATTGCATATTAAAGGTCTGCTGTTGCTCTTTTTTTGCTAGAATTTGCAGAATACAACAAGGGATACATAAATGCATGAATAGAATCAGGCAAAGATTGACGATCTATGTCTAGAGCTGGGATGTCACTTCTAAAGGAGTGACAGTGACCTATAAAGGCCTGCTGTTATTTTTTTTAGTCATTTCAACACCTGCTAAGTCATTTCAACTCAGAACTCCTTTTTCATGCAATATCAGGGGAAAGGCTTGATGGTGTTGATAGTGAAGCTGCAGCACGGAAGCTTAGAGGACGTGTTGGAACATCAGTTACAGTAAAAGTCCACAGTGTAATCATTAATTCTCATTCTCAGCAACATATATGAAGAATTATATTCTGTTGACTGATTATTGAATATGTTCTGACATTTCTTAGTGGCGATTCCTTGTTAGGCTCCCATCTTTGCATTGTTAGTGACCTTGTGCACTTATTCTAACAAGATGAAGATGGTTCACATACGTTGATAATTTATCTGAATTTGGAATAAAAAATCTACTAGAATTCCTAAACGCCGACCAGATAGTTTTGTCTTACAGTATCCTAGGGTATGGAACTCTTGAATAATTCTCAGATATGGCTGGCAAGAGTGAGCAACATAGCTTTGTGAAATGTATTGACAAAATTTATCACAGTAGTCTGATCCCATCTCAGCTAACTTTGCATAGGGTTTTCTTAGTCAAGAGTGTTTTATCCAAAGCAAAGAATACTTTTGCATTTTTACTAGTTAGCAATTTCTTGCAACAGAATATTCAAGTTACTGTGAATTGTAGATGAATGTTTGATTTGACAGTTTCCCAATGCATGGTTTCTTTTTACTTTTATTGATGATATCAATTTTCTTTTCTCGTTTTGGTAGCATTTTGAACTAATAATTGAGGTTCTTATAAATTACAATTTGCTTAATATTCGGTATTCTTTTCTGCAGGCAGGGGATTCAACAGCTAATTCTAATATCAGAGAGGTATTAAACCTTTCATGATTTTGCATAATATTGATAATGCAGTGACATTCATCATTTCATATATTTGTTTGTCTTTCTGGGCTATCTTCTATGAACTTTATACTTCTCAAACATGGTGTAGTAGGATCAGTTTTTTGATATACCTTTTTTAACTTTCTGAGAACTGATGTTGAAACATCTGGTTGCTATTGAAGGTAAATCTGCCTCGCGAGTACATTAAGCTATCCCCAATATCCAGCACCATCATCCCGCATAGAACACCAGATGGCCGTCAAACAAAGACTGGTTATGTGAAGCTGTCAACTTTCTCTCAGGTACTGATTACAGAAAACATAGACCAAGTAAAATTTCCTAATTTCGGCATTTGTTTTCGTCATAATTATTTCTTTTTGTACACTGGATTTGAATTGCTTGCTATACGATGTGAAAGGCCTTTCTATTCTTCTGACAGACTGCTGCTGCTGATCTGGCAAATGCCATAAATGAAATGGAAACTCAGGGTGTACGTTCATATATTCTGGATTTACGGAACAACACAGTATGTTTTTAGCCCTCATATTTATAGAAGAACAAACTGAAAAGATTTCAATGTTTTTTTTTCAGATTATTTATTTAGACGCTCTTATTTTCCTTCAATTCATCCTACAGGGTGGTCTGGTAAAAGCAGGACTTGATGTTGCCCAAATGTGGCTGGACGGGGATGAGACTCTTGTCAACACTATTGATAGAGATGGGAATATGTTTCCTATCAGCATGGTGAATGGGCATGCCATAACACATGATCCACTAGTTATTCTTGTAAGACTCAGTTTTGATAATTTTTCTTCCATAAAAAATGATGAGAACAATTATCAGTATCTTCTAAACAGCTTGTTTCAAATTTCAAAAGAAATGGAAGTTCAAACTTCAAAGATATTTTGGCATAAAGGGTCTATTTAGTAACTGTTCTTGTTTTGAACAAATTTTCTGTCATTGCTGTTAAGTTACTTAGTTTCACTTCTGCAATAGTAATACCATTGAGAACCTTTGCAGGAAGTATCTGAAGTTCCAAATTGCATTTTAAATATAATTTTCCATGTTATAACCATACTTTCCACGATAATGAGTAATAACTTTGAACTTTTATTACTCGAAATAGATCAACGAGGGAAGTGCTAGTGCAAGTGAGATTTTAGCTGGAGCCCTGCATGACAATGGTCGAGCTATCCTTGTCGGGCACAAAACCTTTGGCAAAGGAAAAATTCAGGTACAATGTGGCAGTAACAGAGTATAGGTTTGAATCTTCTTTTATTCTACCAGGGAACCTTTTTAAAGGTAAAAAGTAAAAGGCTCAAATATAAACAATAGAAGATGTATTTCTGCAATGTATCGCATTCTCAAGTAGTCCAACATGTTCAATTCAACTTGACATATAAGAAATGATACTATTCTAAAACATTATCGTCCAAAGAAAATGATTAGAATTGTGTGTTTTTGTAGTATATATTAATATTATCCTTAATCTGTGGGCATGCCATAACCAACATGTTTGCAAAAAAGAAGATAAATGTTGCGGAATATTTTTTATGGCTAGTATGAATCTATTCTTGGTTGAAAATACTCTAATTATTCTGCTTCCACTTCATCTTGGTGATAACCTTCTTATGTACTCTTTTTGAATCGTTGCCCATCACTTTTATCAAGTTTAAATTGATGCCTACATTTATGCATTACTTCTTATGGTTTCTTATTATTTTATTCTTTTTGTTTGTGCAGAGTGTAACAGAGTTGCATGATGGATCTGCTCTATTTGTAACAGTTGCAAAGTATCTTTCACCTGCGCTTCATGACATAGATCAAGTTGGGATAATGCCTGATGTGCAGTGCACAACAGATATGCTTAATTCATCTATGGAATCATTATTGAAGAATAAGACTTCAGTATCATCTCTTGAAGCAGATTCCTGTATCATGGTTGCAGAACATGAATTGGACATTCAAGAACCCAGAGGCACTGCATCTTAGAAGGTAGGATTCTTCTACTATTGTTAATTTCATTACCCAAAAAAAAAAAAAAAAGGTGTGAACTCAAATGTTGGTCTCAATAATCTATGTTTAGGAGAAAAAAAAAAAAAAAATGGAATGTATATATATATCTATATTTATGAAGAATGAACAAAAAAAAATTGTCTTCAGAAAATTGGATGTACAGATGTGAAGAAATAACAAAAGAATTGGTCAACTGCATCTGCATAATCTATGTTAGGTTAGAAAATTACTATAAAACCTCTAATTGGTCTTCAGAATCAGCAATTTTAGTCTTTGAAGCTTGTTAATGACCTAACACTTTGTACTTTAGTCCTTCATGTTTTTGCTTATATAACACTTTGATCCCTGAAATCTTAAAACAATGTATCTTGATCCTTTTAAATTATTATACCATGAAACACTTTAATACAGCAAAATCTTGTATTTTCATAGAAGTTATAGAAAATTACACATGGTAGAATTAAAAAACCACACTCTAATTAGAAAAGGAAAAGACAAATAATTAATTACCCATTATATCATTTAACTCTGTAAATAGTAGAACATCAAAGAATGAATACAATACAATATGATCAAACCAGATTCAAAACCAACAAATTGTACATAGAAAAACCATAAAACCACTGTATGCATATATATATAGATAGATACAGATATAGATATAGAAAGAGTCTAGTGCCTCAAAAGAGCAATAAAAGATAGAACAAGTGAGGATGCAACAATGGCACTAGACATTGGTAGAGAGAAACCAGCTCCGGTATCAGGACTTGGCGCTGGTGCCAACTGCGCGGATACATTAGTGTTCGCCAGGAAGATGGCGGCTATGCAAGCAATGATAACAGTTTTGCAGCTGTTAAATTGAGCCATTGTTAGCAAAAGGATTGAAAAGAATATTAAATGTGTTTTTAGGAACAGAAATGTAATTGAGCAAAGAACAATTGGTGCAAGACAATGGATTGTGAGTCTAAGCCTCTAAGGCAAGGTATATAAAGAGTTGAGTATGGACCCCACGTACTTAGCTGTGTGACTGTGACAGGTAAGCTGACTGGTCCACTGCGCGTACTTACCGTAAAAGAATAGATGACTGGGTAGGCTAGGTGGGCCAGCTTTGTGGACGGTGACTGATAGGATCTTGACACGTTGCAATATTGGGTTGTTGGTATTTCAATGTTGTGTCCTCTGTTGAGACGTTTCCAGATAGGAAATTTCCAAAAATGAATAGCTCTTTCCTTCCTTCTGTGATTTTAAAAATTTTAATAATATATGTATTACAATATGAAATAAAAATATAAGAAAATATCTAATAATTATTTAAATTATTGGTCTTTTAATAAACATGCTAATTGGATTAATCATTGAGGATGAATGAAGACAGGCTTTGAGTTGGCACATGAAGAAAGAAATCATCATACATTCACAATTCACACCGGTTCCATGTGCTATCCTATTTTTTACTCGTTATTTTTTAGAAAATAATCTATTGAAATCTTTAGTAATGAAAATGAAATTATAAAATTGAGTTCTGTTTTCTCTTTTATTTTGTTTTAAATAAAGGAGTACCAAATAACATTTCCATATCTTTCGAGAAGCAAATCATAGTCGTAATTGGCTTGCTACCTATACTTCTTCATTGCCTTTATTTTTTACATATTTTGGATTTTCATTAGGGTTGTTATCTTGGCTATCATCGAATTGTAGAGGTATTGCTTTTCCTCCGCTGGCTTTGTAATGGGTCGTAGATGATTAGCGACTTCAATATTCATAAGTGTGAAAATACAAGTTCAATCCCTAGAAATAAACTTTATTAGAAAAGTGAAAAACCTTTATGTTCTACGGCTCGAAATATTAAACCTTTTACTTATAAAAAAAAATTATCAAAAGAATACCTCAACGTCCAAAGAAATTGTATATTAGAAGTCTTTCTCAAAAAACAAAAATTTTATTTAATCATTTATTTAATCAAGGGCACATAATTAAATACATATAAAAAATAATCAATACAATAATGCCATGATCCATTATATCTCATACAATAATAAATAAAAACCAATCTAACAACCCAAAATTCCTTCTTCAAAAAAAAAAAAAAAAAAAAAAAATTGCTATGATCCATGACTTATATTCTATCTCATTAACTCAAATCACAAAATCTAGAGAGCTCTACAACCTCCAATTTCCTTCTGTGAAAACAGAAAAATTAAGTATAATAAGGAAAGCTAATAATGTTTCAAGAGAATGCAATACAAGAAGTGATGTAGACAAGAGTAGGATCAATAGAGCCCGAGTCCGGTGCATATCAAACATTCCAGATCCGTGTCAGTCATGGAAGGTCTCTCGGGGTCCGTGCATATTTGGCTTGAGGGCTCGCATGCAGCATGGAGCAAGCACTATGAGAAAAATTTGCAATTAGCTTTAGAGTGGTGATTGCTCCTATTTATAAATTAATATTCGTTAGGCAATGAGAAGATGTTTTTAGGTTATTTCTCGCAGTCCTCTTCGTTGTTTAACTGATGGCTAGTGTTGGTGTTCATACTTATTATAAGAGATTATATCATTTATAAAAAGGAAGTGTTTAGACAATATGAGTAATTCATTATTCTGTGATGAGAATTGTATATTGGTGAGTATGAAAGCTAGTTCCATGATATTTTTTTGTAATTCTGTTGGATGGTGTGGTTGGTCTTACGATACGTGAACGGTTCGCTTTACGGATTTACTAAAATATAACAGCAAAGATTTTGCAGTTTGAACATATATTCAATATGTTTTGAGTCTGGTTGGCCTTTGTGTTCGAAACCGGTTATCCTATTGTGGGGAATGGTAGATCAACCTTATCCAAATTTATGGCTGTTGAGTGGGGATAGTTTAAGCTATGGATTGGTTGATTATGGTTTTGAATACAGAATATGTGTTAGTGTAGTACTATGTCGCAACTGTCATTGCTATCTGTATACCGTACTTAAAATTTATATTATGATTGTTCGAATTTGAATTACACGCGGTGCAAGTTTTGGATTTTTCGCGTCAAGAATAGTGCACTTTACTGACTCTCTCTTTACAGTATTGAGTTAAGATGAAGTCTTATTCACTTCTGTTTATAGTCAAGGAAAGGAAAAAAAGGAGGACGAATGGTATTTTTTTCTTTCATTAGAAAACCTTTCTAACTAATTAGGTAAATTACGCAATAAGTGCCGAGAAAATCATGTGAAATTAGAGTGTATTATGATGCTCATTCTTATGTGGATATTAGTGAGTTTCGATTCAGTCTTTTTTTTTTTTTTTTTGGGGCTTTTCTTTTTGATGTATAATCATTGTGGTGAGTTGTGTGCATTATTATGGAATTAAGTTTCGTAAGAAAACAACATAAGACTTCGTTGAGCCATGATTGTAAGTTTCTCGTTTGTGGTTTCTTTGATTGGGTAATGCAAGTACGTGTGAACTTTTATAATCAGACTCAGAATCTGAAGTGCGACTTTTCAGATAATTCTTATAAGGACTTAAAGGAGATTATAATTATGTTTCTTGTATAATTTAAATATATTAATTGTTACGATAGGATGTTTATTTTTACTCTTGGTAGAAAAAAAAAAAAAAAAAAAAAAAGCTAATAATGTTTCAAGAGTGCAATACAAGAGATGACAAGAGAAAATCCAATAAGAGCACCAGATACCGGCACAAAAATTCCAGCTCCGGCATCCATGGAAGGTCCCGGAGCCAGTGCAATTTGAGCTGAGGCAGTTGCAGCCATGGAGACAGCAACAATGAGAAAAATTGCAATAGCTTTAGAGATGGTGATTTGCTCCATAATTAATAAAATATTAGTTAGGCAAGAGAAGATGTTTTAAGGTTTTTTCAGTATTGTAATAACTGATGCTATGTGTTAATACTTTATAAGAGAATTTATCTGTTAAAAAGGAGAAATATAACATACTGTGATGAGAATGTATTGGCTGGAACAGCTAGTTCCATATATTTTTTTGTATCTGTTGGTTGGGTGGTTGGTCTACAGACGGAACGGCGCCGTATAACAGCAAATTTGCAGTTGGCATTTCATTGTTTGAGTTGGTTGGCCGGTTTCTATTTGGAGATGGGAGACCTTACCAAACATATGGCTGGGGCCAACTACACGTGATGATGTTAACAATTAGTAAAATGCCAATGCTATTTACCAACAAAGGTATAATAGACATCAATTTCTACACGCGGGTGCAAGTTTGATTTTCAAGAAGTGCACTTTACTGACTCTACAGTCTGAGTAGAATTACACTTTCTGATTATATCAAAGAAAAGAAAAAAAAGAGACGAATGGTATTTTTTTTCCATAAAAACCTTTCAACAATGATAAATTCAAAGCCAAAAAAATCAATTAATTAATAATTAGAGTTGATTAAATGCTAATTATCTTTAATGAAAAAACGTCATCATCTTTTTTTTTTTTTTTGAGGGCCTTATATATGTAGTTATCATAATGAATAAGTGTAAGAAAACAAACAAGACTTGTTTGAGCCATGATTGTAAGTTTCTGTTTTGTTTTATTGGGTAATGCAAGTACATTACCTATAGATCCAAGAGGCAACATCAGATATTTCTATAAGGACTAAGGAGAATTAATAGTCTGAGAATAAATTTAAAAAAATTAAATGGATTATTTTCTTGGAAGCTTTTATATGATTGTTTCAGAAATTTAATTATTAATATTATACTTTGTATATTGATAATACTAATAATTTTGTTGCTTTTATAAATATTGAGATTGCTTATTACTCCGACGATGAATTATTGATAATTTGATAATTAATTTAACTCTTCTTTTAATTTAAATGATTAGAAACATTTTCAAATCAGTTTAAATTAAAATTTTCTCCAGTGAGATTTCAAGGATATATTCTATATGCTGTACAATTTTTTGAATAAACACAAAAAAATTATATTCAATTTGACAATTTGCAAAGATTTAAAAAAGTGGGCTCCTGAGATTTTTTTTTTTAGTCCACAGGCTTGACATTTTAAGACGAAGATTCAAATACAATAAAATTTGAACTTGCAAGTTCAAACCAAAATTTCACCTATATTTGAAATGCAATCAAAATTTGAACTTAACCTAAAACCCCTTTAAAATGTTATATTCCATTTTTGGAACAACAAGCTGAAATTGTTGTCTTGCAATTCACAGTGAATTAAATGATACTTTGATTTTTTTTTCTTCTGCTCTAAGTCTATTGCTGAGTCCTTCTGAGAGAATATCTATTAGGACTCTAAGATTGACTTTGAAAGTTCAAATTAACACTAATCCGT